GGGGGCTGCGCAGCCCCCGGCTGGGGGGCGGGGGGCCCTGTGTCGCGTGGATGGTCTGACCCCGCCGCTCCGGGGCAGGTGGCTGAGGAGGCGTGGGTGCTGACAGAGGAGCTGAACCCCAAGATGAGTCTGGAGGTGGCTGCGGGGCTCTTTGAGCTCTACCTGACGCTGGCAGACACCCAGCGCTTCTGGAGCTGCGTCCCTGGCCGGTGGGTGTCCCAGCCTCCCCCAGGCGGGGTCGGGGCCGCAGCCCCCGTGGAGGGGGCTCTGTGCTCCCGGGTCCCCTTGTGGCCCAGCAGAGCCCTGACGGCGCCCCCTGCAGGGACAGCCGCTCCCTGGCCCTGGGCGGCCTCCACACGCCCTTCCTGCCGGCGGTGAAGCTGTGGCTCCAGGTGCTGCGGGATCAGGCCAAGTGGCGGCTCCAGGGGGCCGTGGACACGGACTCGGTGAGCAGGCGCGTGCCGTGGCCTCGGTGCGTGCCGTGGACTCTTGCATGAGCGTGTATGATAGGTGTGCACGCTATGGATTCTTGCGTGAGCCGTAAGCATGCATGATGGGTGTGCACTCGGTGAACAGGCCTGCGTGGTGGCTGAGGACTCGGTGAGTGGGCACACGGGGTGGGCGCGTCCCTGCCGAGTGGACGTGTCCCCAGGCCCTCCGGTCCAGCTCCCGCATGGCCCCACCTCTGCCCTGCCCAGCTGGAACCGGTGGACTCAGCCTCCAAGCACAGCAGCTCTGCGACCACCGCCAGCCTCTGCCTCGGCCACATTCAGGAGCTGTGGGTCCGCCTGGCCTGGCCTGACCCGGCCCAGGCCCAGGCGCTGGGCACTCAACTCAGCCAGGTACATGGGCAGGGGTGGGGAGGGGAGCAGGCCCAGGGGACAGCAGACGAAGAAGAGGGCTCACCCCCCCACTCCCCCAGGACATGTGTGAGACCACGCTCTTCTACACCGAGCTGCTACGGAAGAAGGTGGACAGTCAGCCGGCGGCAGCGGGCGAGGTGGTGAGCCAGCCGGTGAGCGGGGGCCCCGGGGAGGTGGCAGGGCGGGCTGGCAGGCAGCACGCGCACGGCCCACCAGCTGCCTGGCTGCCCCTCCGCAGCTCTGTGTGGTGCTCAACAACGTGGAGGTGGTGCGCAGGGCTTCGGGGCAGGCTCTGCGGGGCCTGGCGTGGCCGGAAGGAGCCTCGGGGGTGGCGGGGGCGCTGCCCCGGGCCCTGCTCGGCTGCACGCAGGCTCTGGACGAGGACCTGCAGCGGGAGGCCCGCACCGTGACGGCACACCTGACCTCCAAGGTGGGCGGCCGGGGGCTGGGGCGTGCTGGACCCGGGCACCGGCCGGTCCTGGTGGCCCACGCCCCTGAGCCGAGCGTGTCCCCCCTCAGATGGTGGCGGACATCCGGAAGTACGTTCAGCACATCAGCCTGTCCCCCGACTCCATTCAGAATGACGAGGTGAGCCCTGGGCTGGGGACGCGCCCAGGAGAGGGGCGGGCCGGGCCACGGCGGGGCGGGCTCAGCTGCCCTCATGCTCTGCCCGCAGGCCGTGGCTCCTCTCATGAAGTACCTGGACGAGAAGCTGGCCCGGCTGAGCGCCTCGCTGGTGAAAGAGAACCTGACCCGGTACGGAGCCGCTGGCAGGGCGGGCAGGCGCCCGGCGGGGCTGGCGCTCACAGGGGCTGGCGCTCACAGGGGCTGGCGCTCACTGGGGCTGGCGCTCACAGGGGCCGGCGCTCACTGGGGCTGGTGCTTACCGGGGCCGGCGCTCACGGGCTGGCAGGCGCCCGGCGGGGCCGGCGCTCACGGGCTGGCAGGCGCCCGGCGGGGCCGGCGCTCACGGGCTGCGTCCCGCAGGGTGCTGGAGGCGCTGTGGGAGCTGCTCCTGCAGGCGGTCCTGCAGGCCCTGGGTGCCAACAGTGACGTCTCCACCGACTTCTATGGGCGCTTCCACTTCACACTGGAGGTGAGGCCAGGAGCCCCTGCACCCCCGCCCGGGCTGCCTGGTCTCAGGTGCCAGCTTCCTCCCGGGCCGCCTGGGGTGTCCGGGTATGAGAAGTGGCTTTGCTCTGGTTCTTGAGACCGAGTATTGCTGGGGTCTCCGTGCCCCGGCCAGCCAGGCCCTCTGACGTCCCTATGTCCCTCTCCTCTCCCCGCCGCAGGCCCTGGTCAGTTTCTTCCACGCAGAGGGCCAGGGCCTGCCCCTGGAGAGCCTGAGGGATGGAAGCTACAAGGTAAGGGCCCCGCCAGCTCTGCCTGGCCTCGGCCGGCTGCATGGGGGCGGCGCAGGTGCGCGCCCCCCTCCCCCGTCACCCACCCCCGGCTCCCTGCAGAGGCTGGAGGAGGAGCTGCGGCTCCACAGGTGCTCCACCCGCGAGTGCATCGAGCAGTTCTACCTGGACAAGCTCAAGCAGGTGAGCGGCGGCGGCGGGAGCCGCGGGAGGGGGGGGGAGGGGGAGGCCCCAACGTCTCTGCTCACGGCCTCTTTCTCAGCGGGCTCTGGAGCAGAACCGGTTCGGCCGCCTGAGTGTCCGCTGCCATTACGAGGTGGCCGAGCAGCGGCTGGCAGTGGAGGTGCTGCACGCGGCGGACCTGCTCCCCCTGGACACCAATGGTGAGGCCTGGCAGTGCCGGCGGGGGGGGGCGGACGGCGGGCTCACGCTGTACCCCCCACAGGCCTGGGGGGGCAGGGGGCAGACGGCGGGCTCAGGGCTGTACCCCGCATGCCTGGGGGGGTGGAGGGGGACGGCGGGCTCACGGCCGTACCCCGCAGGCCTGGGGGGGTGGAAGGGGACGGCCGGCTCACGGCTGTACCCCGCAGGCCTGAGCGACCCCTTTGTGATTGTGGAGCTGGGCCCGCCACACCTCTTCCCGCTGGTCCGCAGCCAGAGGACACAGGTGAAGACAAGGACGCTGCACCCGGTCTACGATGAGCTCTTCCACTTGTGAGTGCCGGCCCCACAACTGCACCCGCGCCCGTGCCTGCGTGGAAATGGCACACCCCTGACCGGCCGCCGGCCTGCAGCTCCGTGCCCACGCCCGCGCGGCTGTGGCACACCCCTGACCGGCCGCCAGCCCGCCCGCAGCTCCGTGCCCGTGGAGGCCTGCCGGCGCAGTGGGGCCTGCGTGGTGTTCACTGTCATGGACCACGACTGGCTGTCCACCAACGACTTCGCTGGGGAGGCGGCCCTGAGCCTGAGCGGGGTCAGCGGGGTCCTGAGGCCTCAGGCCAGAGGTGGCGCGAGGGCCGGCCAGCCCGTCACCCTGCACCTGCGCCGGCCCCGGGCCCAGGGTGAGCCAGCATGGGGGGCCCTGCCCGCCATGAGGCCAGGGTGTGTGTGTGTGTGTGTGCCAGGGTGTGGGTGAGCCAGCATGGGGGCCCTGCCCGCTGTGAGGCCAGGGTGTGTGTGTGTGTGTGTGTGTGTGTGTGTGTGTGCGCGCCAGGGTGTGGGTGAGCCAGCATGGGGGCCCTGCCCGCCGTGAGGCCAGGGTGTGTGTGTGTGAAGGCCGTGGACCTGGCCCCGCCTCAGCCCCCCCCACCCCCCCATCTCCCCAGTGAGGTCTGCGCTGCGCATGCTGGAAGGCCGGAACAACAAGGAGGCGCAGGAGTTTGTCAAGAAACTCAAGGAGCTGGAGAAGTGCATGGAGGCTGACCCCTGAGCCCCCCGCGTCCCTCGGTGCCCCCATTGCATGCTGGCGTGGCTGTGCCCTGTGACTCTGTCGGCTGTGACGTGCTGTGACCCCCTCGCGCACCGCTCCAAGTGTGGGCAGCTCATCCGGCGGACGCGCGCTCCGGCGGCATCCGCAGACGCTCTGGTGGCCACGGGTGCAAGGCGCAAGGACACCAGGGAGGCCAGGGAGGCGGCACACCCTGGAGTGGCAGCGCTCGTGCCCAGGCAAGCGGCACGGGGTAGAGAACAGCTCTGAGGAGGTTCCACCCGATCCCCCAGGTGAGACAGGAAGCCAGGGCTCAGGTTTGGGTGACCCAACTTTTAAGGAAAGAAGCGGAGGTGTGAGTGCGGAGCGCAGCTCACAGGAGGCGGCAGGCTGCGCGTGCTCATCCGGGGCCCCGTCTGGCCCCAAGCTTCGGGAGGTCTCCCGGGGTCCCAGAGGCTGGCGAGCAGGACAAGGAGCTCGGTGTCCCTCGGCTGCCCTCCGCACACGTGCATGCAAGCACAGCCCGGCCCCCGCTGCGCACCCCAGCAGGCAGCGCACTCCCGACCCTCCGTGCCCAGACTTGCGCCGGAGGCCCTTCCAAGGCCTGCGGCTTGCGGAGAGCCCAAGGTGGGGCCCAGCCCTGCGGGCGGCTGCAGCGGGCTGGTGCTGCCAGGCCTGTCCACCCCACGTCCCACTGCCGTCGCTGGACCTCCACAGTTCTCTCAACAATGTCGTGTCTGCAACCTTCAGTCTCTTTGCCGTTTCTTAATTCCTTTCCAAGCTGGGGCTGGGGCTCTGGCCCCAGGAGCCGCCGCCGCTGCCTCCTCTTCCTCCCCCTCTTCCTGCTCCGCCGCTTCCTCCTCCTCCTCCTCCTCCGAGCAGCTGCTGCTGCCGCCGCCTCCGTCCTCAGAGCCAGGCCCCTGATCCTCAGACTCGTCACTGTCACTTGTTTCCAGAGGCAGTCTGGAAGGGAGTGCATGCATGTCCCTTGTGGCGTCCTCCCTGCCCCGTCCACGGCCCTCCCCATGGCACTGACCTCAGAACCTTGCCTCCTGCACTGCGAGTCCCGCCCAGTTGTCTTAGGAGACCTCCACCCCCTTCACCCCCCCCCCCCGCCGCCAGAGGCCTGAGTCATGCTGGTGCTGTGCTATCACAAACCCCAAAGTCCCCAGGACCTACCGGGTGCTGGCCACAGGTCTGTTGGGGTTTGCAAACTCTCGACCTGAATCCACATCAAAGGGATCTGAATGGAGAGAGGACGGTGACCAAGAGAGCCAGGACAGACAAGTGCGTGCCTCAGAAGCTCCCGCCCATACCGCAGCCCTCACCGATTTCCTCCTCCGGGGGCCTGTCCTTCTCGCTTGCCAGTAACGCCTGTTCTGCCTGTACGACCTCCTCCGGACCACTGCAGGCAGCGTACTTATCCAGGAGGTGGCGGTTCAGGTCCAAGAAGCCCTTGCCCCACTTAAACTTCTGCAGCAAAATGACACCAAGATCTGGAAAGCCTGACGGTGCAGAGGCCAGGGGTGTCAGTGGTCTCTCTGGAGGGAGTACCCTGACCGCCCTGCTGGCCGGTGCGGCCTCCGAGCAGTTCCCACCCCTGTAGCTTCCCCTCCCCCGGGGGTTCCTCTCTTATTCCAACTTCTGAGTCTCCATGTGGGCCTCCAAAAACTGCCTGAGGACAGCCGGGTGCCAGTGGCTCACGCCTGTCATCCCAGCTACTTGGGAGGCTGAGATCTGAGGATCACAGTTCAAAGCCAGCCTGGGCGGGAAAGCCTGTGAGACTCTTATCCCCAAGTAACCACCAGAAAACTGGACGTGGCGCTGTGGCTCACAGTGGTAGCGTGCTCGCCTTGAGTGAAAAAGCTGCTCCACCTTTCTTCTATAAACCGAGACGTGGGGGCTGGGAATTGAAACCATCCTGCCCGGTAGCTCCCCTGAAATACTTCATACCCCTCTGGGGGTTGCGTGGAAAAGCCAGGGGTGGGGGCACAGCGAGACCACCAGGCCAGGCCCCCCAGGACTCACCCACAATACAGAAGGTGGCAGCAAAAGCCTCGACGCAGGAAAGCCTGCAGGGCCGGCCGTAGTTGACGGGGTTGGCAGCCACCAGGTAGGGCAGCAGCCGCGTGTGGCCGCCCCGCATCTTCTCCAAGGGTGTCTCGTCCAGTCTGGCCCACGAGCAGTCTATAACAGCGATCCCGGACCGGGCCACCAGCTGCCTGCGGGACAGTGTGCGGTGGGCCCTGGGGTGCCCTGAGGGTGGGGTGCCTGGATGCCTGGCCTGACTGGGTTCTAAGCCAGCCATTCCCCAGCCCTCACACCCCAGCGAAGGGCCCGTGGGGCGCCCGAGGCCGCGGCGGCCTGCCTTGAAGGCAATGCTTCCTTCCTCCTAGGCCAGGCTTGCCCATCGGGCCTGCGGGGAAGTCTGGGGGGGGGGGACCCGGGTCCTGGGGGGCGGGGACACAGGGACCCGCGGGGCACAGGGATCCCAGGGGGGCGGGGACACGGATCCGGCGGGCGGGGACACAGGGACCCGGGGGCCGGCTGCGCCTACCTGTCTGCCGGGGACACGCACTGCGCGCCCGCGGGGCTGAGCACCAGGCCAC